AAGTAAAGGGTCCTACAGAGCTGTGAAATATGTATTTGTCATATATTTTAAGTGGGCTACTCTGGTTGAACCGGTTACTGAAGAAATTGCAGAAATTTCAAGACACATATTTGATCTCATTGATTTTGATAACATTGACATAAATGATGATAATAGATATCTTATTGGTTAGTAAATTTTTAACATTTTTTTTACTTATATATATGTATATATTTCTTTATATATTAACTTTATATCTGTTAATGTTGTAGATGTAATTGGTAAATTACATGCCATATCTGATAAAGAATCTGTTCGTAAACAAAACGGACAAACAATGAAGCAAAAGAGTATTGTTTTGGAAAATAACAAATAATATTCAACTTCTTATCTATTGTTATTAAAATTATTAATATTGAATTAAATAATTACAGGGAAAAATGTATCAAGATTTCTTTATGGGGTAATACAGGGAGTTTAATTGGGAAATATTTAATTGGAAATAGATCAAGTGCAACTATTTTGGTTATCACTTCAACAATAGGGTATACAAATGTATCAAGATCTCTTTATGAGGTATACATATATAAATTGAACTTGGGTCATTCACTAGGTATATATATTAAAGTAATGAAATCAGGACAAAATCTCCTCCAGTCAGACATGTGGCCTATTTACATTCGGCCACCTGTCTTTGCAAGAAGAGAGACCACTCACTTGCGGACTAATAAAGCCCAAAGCCAACCACTCTAAGCCAACTACCATGTAGACACATGGCCATCTCTAATTTTGTTTTCTTTTAACTTTTACACACGTGTGATACTATAACTATTTATACCTTAGAAGTGGGAAATTTCTACTGTCCAGGAATAAGCATAATATCAAATAATTTTCAATCTTCAAATGTGAGAAGTGGAAAATGGGAAATGGGAAGTTCTCACTCTCAATCTCTTCCTAAAAAAAGTCCAATACCAAACAATTTACAATCTTTCTACATATTCACTCTAATTGAACTTTCTGCGCATTCAACCATCTCTGCCCAACTCTCAACGAATGTGCTTTGTGAGGCGGAGCCTTCCAAGACTTTGGTGGCTCCAACAACAAACTATCACTCTTTCTTGGCAGGAAAACTTTGATTTGTGACTTCAGGTTGCTGCTGCAACAGCAAACGGTGTCTTTGTTTCTGAACATGGCGACTACAACACCAGTTTAGGTTAGGGTTTGAGAAGTTTATAGATATAGAAAGAAACCAGGCGAAGAAGATTCGATAGTGCAGGTTAGACTCTATCAATCATTTACCCAGGAAAGATTCGTCTGGTTTCCCAATTCCCACCAATAGGAGCAGCAACGTTAACAACGTAAGAAGGGAAGGAACAGAGTAAGGAGGAAACGAATATGTCGATGTTGCGGTGTAGAAAAGCGTTCCGAAATCGAGCAAACTTCCAATTTGGATGATCGTAAAGAGATCCAAAGCAAATTCGACTGTAATGATAAGAAGGAGAAGGTGAAAAAGAAGAAGAAATTGTCTTGCATTAATAGTTGCTGCTGGTTTATTGGCTGCATCTGCTCGATTTGGTGGTTTCTACTATTTCTCTATAATGCCATGCCAGCATTGATTCCTTAATATGTCACCGAAGCCATTACCGGGCCATTGCCCGATCCGCCCGGTGTGAAATTGTAGAAAGAGGGGTCGAGAGCGAAGCACCCGGTGGTCTTTGTTCCTGGGATCGTTACCGGTGGCCTCAAGCTTTAGGAAGGGCACCAGTGCGCTGATGGATTGTTCAGAAAGCAGCTTTAGGGTGGTACATTTGGAAAAGTGTATAAGAGGTACTTTTTTCCCCCTTTTTCCATATCTTCAAATATTGACGGCAACTTTAACAAATTCTATTAGCCTAATTTTCAGAATTAAGTATGATGAAATTCCCATATTTTCGACCGGACACATGGGGCAGATTTTTCAATTATCCCGTTGTTTTTCTAAGGAACTCAAAAAATCTTTGGATCCTAACCAATTAGATGTTATTTCTATGCAAATTGTGAAAATTTCAGACTGTTTCCTTTTTAAGGTGTTTCATTGCCAGGTTTGATGAATTATAACATAAGACCTAACTATCATCGAATGAAAATGAATATATATATATATATATATAGTTTTGATGACATCTGAAGCCTAGCTTTGCTTTCAATTATTTAAAGTTACTCAAATGGAATGATGAACTTGCATTTTCTTTTCCCTTTTTCTATAGTGGATAATCCAGATATAATCTAGGCTACTTTCCTCACATATCCTCCCTAATTTCGGACTACGATGATTTGACCCATTTGTCATGCTAATATTCTGCATTCTTTGTTCCTTTGCATTTGATTATATTTGGATTATATTGGCTGATCTAGACAAGCAACACTTAACAGTACATATGTGAAGTGACTGCTCAGAAAAATTCCTTTCGTTGTGTTTGTTTGGATCATCAACAGACCTTTATGTTGGGTTGAGCACATGTCACTGGACAATGAAACTAGACTGGATCCTCCCGGTATAATTTAATTAATTAAATAATAATAATAACAATTTAATAGCAAATTTTAATTACTTAAAAATATTTGCTGAAATTACTCGTTTTAATTCAAACTAATTATTAATTAACAAATTTAATTTCTTAAAACTATTATTTACTCAATACTTGTAATTACTCTTTGGTTAACGACCTTATCTTTGAATAATTGGTTTTTTATGTTCAATAAATATTTTTTTTGCAAAAATTCAAATAATTTTTCATTTTCAATACTAACCATTTTTTTCTCTTATTCAGTTTTCCAAAAGATAAAAATAAATTAATGATATTTACCTATTATTATCAAACCCGATTAAATTAAATACTGATAATTAATAACAAAAATAATAGTAATTCTTTTATATTCATAATAATCAATTTATAATTATACACGTAAAGTTAATCATAATTAACATTAGTTAGTATGGGAAAGTTAATAATTATTATTTCCATTGGCAGAAAATAATGTTAAAATTATTTGTTGAAATTATCTGTTTTAAATCAGAATTTTGCATTGGGTTGCAGTATATATATATATAATTAACTTCCCCCGTTCCCCATACTTAGTACGGGGTCATTCACTAGCTTTTAAACAAACGAGTGGAGATAAAAGTATTGTGGGTGTTTATTTAATAAATATTTTGTATTATTTTTATCTTGAAAATCGAGAAAGTGGTTGAAGAACGTTTATATAGTGTTGTTTAATGGTTAGGCGCCACATAAGTTAAACAGTAAATAAATGGCTGAGTATTGGGAAAAACATTAAAAATGATGTTTCCCTCTAACAGTTAATTCTCACACAAATCAAGAAAACACCTATTTAATAAATGGTCTTACCAAACACCATGCAAATAACATTTTGGGATAAACACCTACATGACGATGATGTGACACCAATTTTCAAATAAATGGCCACAAAACCAAGCACCATCAAAATGATTTGGTCCTTCAGTCCTAGGGATTTTTTCTGTGAGGCAGTATCGTTCTATAGGTAGCATGAATTGTTTGTTCTTTGCCTTCTGCTTGTCAAAGTCTCATTAGGAGGGTTTGGAACTTGAAATTGGCTTCTAGGTTTAAATTGTATCCGTAGAGAGCTTGTAGGGACTAGATCTCTTCTTGCTCGGAAAGGAATCATTCTCTGAGGTGAATTGTGATGGGCATGAGGAAACCGTTGTTCATCCATTTTGCTATTGTTCTTTAGCTAGAGCTGTCCTTATTTGATAACCCTCGGAGTTTAGTTGTGAATGATTATCAATTTACTTCACTTGTCGGTTTTATTTCTTTTGTCTTGAGTAATTTAAATGACATAGATGAGGAAAAGAAATCTTTTTGTTGGATTACGATGGCCTACTGTTATATCTGGTCTGCAGGAAATGATGCTTTTAATAATAAAAACAAAACTGTTTTTTTTTGGGATCCTTTCAAATGTTTTTAAATATCCTTTCTTCACAAATTCCAAGAGTGTGGTAAGGTGGGTCAGCTTCCTTCTAAAGGGGTATCAAATTTGCCAAATTCTATTTTACCAGGGATTGTTACGGGGGAGCTGTTTGTAATTGGAGAGAAGAACTAGAACAGGTGTAGGATGAGAAAAGAAGAAAGATAAACTTGGGGGAAACCCAGCCTCCAACACTCCTAGTGGAATTCAAATTCTCAAAATACTTCAGAGTTCCGACTGCTATTTGATTCATAAGAAAATAGTTAAATAGATACAATGGCTCAAGAGACCCCAACATAGTGGGATTCAAATCCCACTAGTGAGTGCACTACCACTCAATTAACTTCCCACATAGCACACAATTACACATGCTTGTCCCTTCAGGTAATTACTTCTTAAGTATCTCTCTATCATCCATACTAAAACAATCACCATTGCACGACATCCCATGGATCACAATGTACGGTATGTAACAGGGATTTGTATAAAAGTGTGATAGTGAAGTGAAACCTTTACTGGGAGTTATAAGTTTGGCAAAGGAAGCTAAATGAGTGGAATCAGATTCCATGATTGCCGTTCGTGCATTGAATGGTGCATGTGACGCTCTGTCTTGACCATGCTTGGTTATTTTGGATAAGATCAAGGAAACTTTGAAATATTCTGATAATGTTGCCTCGAGCAAATTCTGTGCCTCATTGTTATGACCCAGAAACCAAAATCTTTTGAGAATGTAATGGTTTTATTTATCTACCTATAAGAAAGTCATCTAGTTTCCATCGTAGTTATCAAAAGTCAAAAGTCAAAACCTTTTGCTTTGGCTTGGCAGTTGGTTGTATTCTTTTCTCAATTGTAATGAGTGCACCTTCGAACACAGCCCCATATCCGTTGAATTCATGTGGACAAAGCCCAACCATAGAATGGGACTACTGCAACAGAAATATTTCCTAATCACCTAGCCACAAGTTAATTCTGCTCCTCCCTTGAGGAAATGATTCTCATAGCAAGATATGGCCAAAATCTTTGCACCCAACACATACCAGAACCAGATACATACATGCCATATTCATCCAAATCATTAGACAAAAGGGAGGAAGATTCTCATCTTTGTAAGCAACCACAGGAAATGAGATTGTGAGTTGTACACTTGTACCTAAGCAACTCAATTCTTCTTATTCACATCTATGTACAGACACTCACATCCAAAGACAAATGACACATAAAGCTAACAATACAATGCCATTTCTTCCCCCAATACGAACACTAACAATACACACCAACTACGAAGACCAAATTAAAACCAAGTCTTGAACAAACATAGCAATATAGACAGTTTAGTTTTAACAAACCATTAACCCCTTCTCTCTCATACGTCTGAAATACAGTAATGGAAACTCAGATCCCATCAATGGTATTTTTCAGACTCCCACCAAGTAAGGACAGGAGACCACCACCATGGACTCTTCCCTCGGGGACCATGAAGTCAAAGTTTCTGGTCCCACCAACTCTACTGCTTCCTTCCTCCTCCCTCTCAGCCCCCAACATCCCAGAAGATGATGAGGATTTCATCGACAGAGGTACCAAGACTTGAGGTGGTATTAGGTGCTGCCTTTTTGCTGGATTTTCTGGTGAATCAGTGCAATCAGAGATGGCACTTACACCTGAAGAAGAATATTCATTTTCCATGCTGCTCCCCACTGTTGAAACGGGTACAAGTCCACGGAAGAGTCCTGGCCCAATCATATTGCCCTTGTCTGTATTACGGTCCTGGACCATGCTGCTGTGTGCTGCACAGAGTCCACTCTTACCTCTAGCAAATTTCTCACATGTTCCTTGCCCCCATGTGCACCGCTTTCCCCCACCATGGGCTTTGCAGAAGTCAGTACTCCCTTGCGCACTCTTTCCACAGTTCTCAAACTTGCACCTCTTTCCCCCACCATGCTTGACACAGCAGTCAGTGCGGCCACGGGCACTCTTGGTACAGCCCGGAACAGCACAACGCTTGCCTCCACCATGCGCAACACAGTAATCTGTCCCACCATGGACGCTCTTGGGACAGATCCCGCCACCTTGAAAGAGACAACGCTTTCCGCCACCATGACCCTTACACAATGGTGTGCTACCCTCAGCACCTTTGGTGCACCCTGCAAATATGCACCGCTTTCCCCCACCATGGGCTTTACAATACATGGTGCTACCCTGGGCCCCTTTTGTGCATCCTGGGAATTGGCACCGGCGTCCCCCTCCATGAGAGATGCACAATCCAGCTTGCCCCTCAGCACTGCGAGTGCATCCTTCCACATTGCATCTCTTACCCCCACCATGCCTGATGCACCGTCCTGATTTGCCTCGGGCTGCCTTAGTGCACCCTGGCTGCCCACACCGCCTACCACCTCCATGCGCTATGCAGTAATCAGTCTTCCCCTCGGCACTCTTGGTGCAGCCCAAGCGCTGGCACCTCCTCCCTCCACCATGGGCCTTGCAGTAGGCAGTCTTGCTTTCAGCACCCTTGTTGCACCCTGGTTTCTGGCATCTCTGCCCTCCGCCATGGGCAATACATAGACCAGATGCCCCTCTTGCCCCCTTTGAACAACCATCAAACTTGCACTTCTTTGGATGGCTAGCCCGATGCTCTGAAGAAACCATTGCAGTTACAGGCTCAGAGTGAGTGCCTGTTGAGTAATCTGTGGTCACTGTAGGTTCAGGACTCAACTGAGGAAAATGACTATGGTGGGTGTTGGACCTTGTTCCAAGCTCTAAAAGTGGCTGGGTCTTCACAACCTTTTCCATAACTGGTGCCCTTGGAGCCAGGAGAAGGGATGGCATATATCCACCAGATTTCTTGGCTGAAGTTGATCCCTCATCAACAATAGGAATGGATAATCTATTCTCTTCAATGGGCATTTGGTTCAGGTGATGGGATGTACTCAGATGACTCTGCACTGAAAATGGATTTTGGCATACACCCAAGGTGTCCCCAGTCCCCAGAGGAAGGCCGAGTTTTAGGATACCAGAGTCACCATCTGAGGACAACCCTTGTCCAAATATATTGGCAATTTCCTTCCTTTTGTTTATCCCAACAGAGTAATCATGACAGGAACTTGGTGTGGGGCCTAAACCAAGAACCAAATGGTAACCATCATCAGGTGGAACTTGGACAGAAATTTTGTGATGGTTACTACCAGAATCCCCAGATTGGGCAGTCTTTTTGGATCCATAGCCAAGAAAGTCCAGGTGCAAAGCTGTATTACCAAAGTTGTCACGTTTGCTTGTCTCCCCATTTGCAGGGACAAAGGGATCTTTCACATTGAGATCCATCGTATGATGTGAAAAGGCAGAATGAACAGGACACAATCTAAGAACACTAGCAGTAGAATAATATTGTCTCTACTAGCATAACAGCTTTACCACGATGCTATTCAGAGAGTGTATGCAGCATAACCAAGTGTAGAAGAAGACTTGATAAGACAGCTCCACCACTTACAAAGCCTGATGTGTCCTTCCTGTCCATTGTTGGTGGTACAAGACTAATACTTCAATTATCTACTACTGAGACACTCAGTTTTGATGGTATCTGACAACGTTTCTTGGATAGAAACCTCTAACAAGACCAGACAGGTTAAAAAAGGAGCACCTTTTGCTCCTTTTTGGATGCTCCTTCAGCTTCATTAAACCTTGAAAAAGGAGAGAGAAAAAAAGGTTCAACAATCAATTCAACTAAATAAAAACCAAAGGGGACGTGATGCTTCACAGACTTTATGTTCATAGATCAGAATCTTATTGACATTAGTGAGGCTGAATGTACTACTACAATGACTGATGAAGCATGAGAAGAAATATCGTCACATACCCTCTTAACAGAGGTAGATCTAGAACAGTAACAAAAATATATGCAGAACAAACTTATCATCATCGTTGTTGTCATTGTCATCTAAGCATAGCTATCCAAATGGATGACATAAATTACTAAACAGTTTTTCAGATCATATATGATTTACCAAGCTCCTCCCAATTTTTTTTCCTAGCTGTGACATTTTAACCATAAATCAGACAGGTGTTGTCTGGTCATAGAGATTTTTGGTTATAGCTATCCAAACGGTAGTATTAAAGTTGATCAAGAATGGCAGAAAAGCATGGAGTCTATTGTGAAAATATGCAATCATATTTGACATCCATTTATCCATATCTAGAGATGCTATACAGCAGGATTTGTGCAAGCTATATATTAAGTGAATGCAGCCTACAAACAGGAATACCGTAATGAGAACAAATAAGAGCAGAGACATGTAAAAATCCTAAGTATCAAATTATTCTGGGGTTTAAATTTCAACTATTTTTATGGTCACTGGGATAGAATTATCTGGGATGAAAACTTTGCTTTGTAGTCTGTTTTTGTTGTTCTGATGTATTGTTTCAGTGGTTAGTTCTTTGTGGTTGTATGTTGTATTCAGGGGAACCTCTCCCTTGGCCTAACTTTTCCCAGTTAAATGAAATTTCATTTTCATCTTTCAAAAAAAAAAAAGAATTTTTATCGCTAACATAAGTTACTTTATTATTTGGTGAAACATATGACATATATCACCTACTCTCATAGCATCTTCAAAGACATAAGGCTGGAGCCAAATCATAGCCAAAGCTGGTACATAAGCATTAGAGAAGTACTAGCAATATTACATGTTATAACTCAAATAAGATTTCTCCAGGTAGAAAAATTCAACAATTTCATACAGAGACTTAATGCTTTCCTGAAAACAATTTACTGCACCTAAAACACAAGAACCATGTATCAACTATCCACTCTCCTAGTAATTTAGGATCCATTTTTCACCTTTCACACCCATAAGAATATCAAGGCAAATTCAATTTATTAGCCACTAACTATCATCAAATATCCATCAATAATCACTGACAGATTCTTTTAGCATACGTTCCATCTATACTTCAATAATCACCGACATGTCTTCTTACTTTCTTACACTCTTCATTCTTCTACATCAATCGTATTTCATTACCTTCATTACAGATCTGGAAGTAGACACCCCAAAAACAAATGACATACCCTATGGTTGTAGTCATATCAGGACCAGAAATTAGCCCCCCTCCACCACCCCCCCCCCCTCCTGGCGGCAAAAAAAAAAAATAAAGGAAATACAACTTAGAAAAACACTACCTAACCCAGAAATTCAAGCAATAGAGTAAACCAGAAAGCAAGATTACAACATAACTATAACACTGAGATCGATATAATTGATGTTATCTATCCAGAATTCTAAGAATCCTGAATTGAACAAAAAGGTATACCCGAAGGCCTTTTAATTAGTTATCAACTGTGAACACCAAATCTGATGCCACATAGATAAATATTACATATCTATGATAATACCTATATGAAATTCAACCAAACCCAGAAGCTTAGACTTTGGAACAGAAGTATCCAAAAAAGCAATTCTTGCGGATCTAAAAGAGAACTCAAAAGATAATTATCAGAAGAATTAAAAGAATATTCTATAACTTCTCCCTTAAGGTGCCTTCACTGAGATATCGGAAGGCATTACTTGTTATGTAAAACATCAATCAAGAGCCACAAACTCCTCAAGTTCTTTAGAATCCACAAAAAAAAAAAATCAAAATCCTTTAACCTTCGAGATTGGCTTATACCCAAAAGCCATGCCAAAAGAAGACATGCACAGAAGAAGCAAGCAGAGGTAGACGGTTCAACCAATTAGCCAATGAAACAGAACTAGAGATTTTTCTTTGAAGCTGAGATAAAGAGATTCAAGCAACTTGCAATCAAACTAAGCAAGCTTTCGAACTGAAACTACTGATTCTTCGGACTCGGAGCATAAATCTCGTAAATCTAAATCTCTATACAGCATAAGGAAAGAAGCATACATAGAAAAAAAAAAACATAGGCAGACAACATTCACATCCTTAATCAGTCAGACACTAAAACAGGAAAGCATAAAGGATATCAGAAACCAAATGACCATAGAGGAAAACTAAACCAAAAAATTTAATTTTCCACCATTGGAGAGAAAAAACAAGTATATGCATATAAAGAAATGGAAAAGGAACAACAAATATAATCTGAAACCGAAAACAGAAAGTATACCTGACAGATCTCACGACATCTCGAAAAAAATCTGACAAGAAGATTTACGTTACCAAGTGATTTGAAGATTGCTTTAACACAGAAAGACAAGCAGAAAGGAGAGACGGAGAGCACCATCTCAGAGAGAGAGAGAGAAAGAGAGATGGGGCGAACCAAGAGAGCATTATAAGGAGTATAAATAAATAAAATAATTAATTAAAGCACTAATTAATTATTAATAAATAATTAGGTCTAGCTTAAGTAAACTATGCAAAATTTTTAAGAGTCTGCTGACCTAATAAATCGGAATGCTGAGTTGGCAAACGGCGACTATTGTGTCGGCTTTGATTGTGACTTGTGACGCGCTGAGCCGATTATTTTTTGCCGGCTTCGTGCTGCTACGCACGGCAAGCATATTGACGTCAGTCTGTCCTTCTTTGATCCTCAGTCCTCAGTCCTCACCTCACGACTCACGTGAGGGTGATTTCACTTGATCACTTCTCCCCAGATTTGGTGTCTCAAATTGGACCATGGGAGTCGGATAGCGGCTGTGAGTAATGGCTCGGGTTCGGATACAATATCAAACCGACCCGAGTTTACACCACTGAGCACTGACTGCCATGGTTTTCAAAACCGGACCGGCCGGACGGTCGGACCGGAAAAACCGGAAACAGGTTAGGTGACTGGTTTTGTTTTACCCCAGAACCGTTATTTTGCTAAAAACTGTTGATTTGGTAAGTAAACTGTTGACTTGGACGGTTAAATTGTTCGAACCATCCAACGGTTTGGCTATTTTTTATTATTTTAAAATTCTCTTAATTTTTTTGTCATAATAGGCCATCTATTCAGTTCAAATGATCGAACCATTTGACCCGGGAACCGGATTCCTGACCGGTTCGATTTTAAAAACCTTACTGGCAATAATATAAAATTAATAATAATTATTGATTTTTAATTCCATTCAATTATTTTTATTTGATTTATAAATGTACCAATGTACCAAATGCCTTATACGCCACACACATGGAACATTGTGTCATAACATGTGAGCCCTTCAATTGCAACTGGGTCCACCTCATTAGAAAAACTGCGACTGGGCCCAAACTATTTAAGAGTCAAATGTTTTTGATAGCTTCTGTCTGTGTGTGTGTGGAAGGGGAGAGAGGGGAATGACACAAAAACGATGCTCGTTAATTGCAAGTGGCATTAGGCTTCAGATTTCCCAAACAGCACCTATGAATTGGTTTATTTGCAATGCAGTTTCTTTTTTCATTGGCGCAAAGGTATGGGACTGCAAATGAGTTCAGAGAAAATTCTGATTTGTATGTTTGCATTGTAAATGAAGAAAGGTTGGGCAGAAAATAAAGTAGAACGCGCAAATATAATCAGAATTTGTTTGTTTCCATAACAGCCCGTTTGGTTTGTGTGATGTGGATGAAAAAATTGGAATATTTGCTGATTATTCGTATTTTTTCATGTATGTTTTGAGAGATATGACGCGATAAGATGGGATTAGTATTCTCAAAATAAGGGGCACGGGGTCTCACCAAATAGTTGTGACTCCAATGAGAAATGAAAGTTGCACGACAAGTGTGAGAAAATTTTGTCAAGGGTGGATTGTTCTCCTCCCACCTCTACAACGGTCCGAACTCCGGCCACCTTATCTTTCCTCTCCGGTAAGTATTCACATCCACTTTCACGCTATTTGGTGTTTTATTCCACCAAAAATACCCTTCTCTTCCTCCATCAACTTCAATCTAGATCTCAAACGACAAGGAGACAAGATATTGTCTTCGTCTTCTCCAGTGAAGGTAACCTTGTCTTTGTCTTCTCAGACAATGAGAGACAGGATTTTGTTTCACACATCATTCACATTTTTTTTTTTTTGCATTTTTTATCAAGAACATTTTTCCTTCCATGTGCTTCAGATGCTTAGCGGACAAAGAGCACAGGTTCGTCTCTAGAGACTGGAGTTCTCATCCTCATCTTCTACAAAGGTCAGTTTTCATCTTCATCTTCTTCCCATATCTTCTCTAGTTACGTTGTTAACCCTTTTCTGTAGGATAATAGGTCTCAACAAACAAACATAGTGACCAAAAATGAGAAAATAAAATTTTCCTTTCTCATCTACTATTTCTCAGCAACCAAACAGAGGATGTGTTTGATTGCAATGCAAATAAATTTGCACTGATGCAAAACTATGGCAGTGCAAATTATTTGAGTGTAAATTCTAACATATTTTTGTTTCAAAATTTATCTTATTTTGTCTGATTGCAATACAAATAAAGTAACTTAAGACATGGAATATAATAAAGTAAAACCAAAAACAAAATTAAACAAGAATTTGCATTTTTTTTTTTCATTTGCACTCCCATGTATTTGTACTGGTACAAATAAAATTACACTACAATCAAACACAGCATAAGGCCCAATTTGGAAAAAGTACAGATATAAATATATACAATACAAATACATACAAAATAATACAAAATACAAGATTTTACACTTTACATATTTATATTTATACTCCTTCCAAACTGAGCTTAAATGAATTTGTGCTGCAAAACAATCAGGTCCAAAGTAATCAAAGCTCATCTAGATCTGTATTGATTTATTAAACTACTTTAATTATGGATTTTCACCAAATACAACTTTTATGAATTCCATATTGGGCACAGCTCAGAAACAGGAGAAGCAGAAAGCCCTCCCAAATGGGCACTCAATATCTATTACAAAGTATTCACCAATATGTATGCCATTGTTTTCTAAATAAGGTTGTGATGTAATAATACATATCTCTCACCAATGTGTACAATGTGTATCGTTCAATTAGTGGGTATTTGGCAACATAATTGATTTTGTTTATCACTGCATCATTTGCAAGATTTTTTTTTTTTTTTGCTGATGCAGAAATTATTTTGTTTAAAAAGAAAAAGACCAAATCATACTTATTGGCGAACACCCCCTTTGAACTGTACAATTGGATTTGGGTCCAAATATTTGTAAAGACTTTATACAATATATAAACCTAGACCAATCTTAACTAATTACTCAAGTTGAGCATGATTAATGTTATTAATTTCACGTAAAAGAAAAAATAAAAAAACTGTAGAGAAGCTTATGCGCGTTATTTTCAGTAATAAAGAATCTAGTTAAAAAATAATCAAATAAATCTCTTTTTATTTGTATTACTTTTAAAACGACATCAGATAAATATAATATGTTCTTAATGTGTATTTATCAAAATAAAGGAAAATATTTTCAGCATGATTTAAAAGAATAACATTTTTTTCTTAAATCAAAGAAGCTTTCAGAAACAAAAACATATTTTTACCTCGATAAGGCTAATGTGGCCGGGCATTCAAGTACGTGGCATGCACACATAAAAATTTCATATAGACTTTCTATAAATGTGGTGATTTTAAAGTTGATACAGTTATATCAATACAATATACATTTCAGTGGACCTTGGGCCCAAAGCACAAAATGAAAATAAATATAAAATATAAAATAAGAAAGATGAACTAATGTATCCATTCAATCAAGGGATTAGAAGAATCAGGGGCAGGTCGGGACGAGGTTGAGATGATGATGATGATGGTGAACTAATACATCCATTGTGTGTGTCTGTTTTAAAAGAATAATGTTCTTTCAAATAATAATTTGGCCGGCCCAGTTTTCTTAAAATCACAAGGAAGAAAAATATTTTGCATTCAATAACAGCCCTTTTAGGTCAATAAAATTCTACAATTATTAAATTAAACATCCATATATAAATATATTTATACTTATTATTAAAAATACAGATGATGGTCTATATTTTTTTTAACTAAAATGCTCATATTTGTGTATTTAGTCCATATCTAATTATGATGGTTGAAAATGTAATTTCAAATATAGCTTTTCACCTCATTCAATCTCCTCTCATTAAATTTTATATTTAAGTTATTAACTCTAATTCTCTCTTATTAAATCATATATTTAAGTTATTTTTCACTATGCTACTAATTAGATTCATGCCCAATACTTTTAATATTATAAAACCATATATTTTAAAACTTACTCAAAAACAAACCATTTTTTATCCAAGTGATGATTAAGCAATTCAATTATCTGAATCAAGTTGATCAACCCATTAAGTCATAGTTAGATTATAAAATTTTTTAGTAGAAAAAATATAAAAAAGACATATTTGTGATATTTTTATTAATCAAATTTTAAAAAATAAGCATAATAAACAAGGATTATTTTTATTGATGATGAAAATGAAATACATAATCTAAAACTAATAAAAAATGAAATTGTTTTCCTGTTTGATAGAGATCAATAGTTCAACTTTTGGGTCAAACGTGTCAACCTTTAATACCATAATTAAAGGTTGACATGTACAATATCATATAAAACAAAAAACAAAATATTTTTTACACAAAGAAATAAAAAATTATAGAAAAACTAAACACACTATAATTCTATATTTACACTATTATTAAAAATATGAATAAGATTGTGAGATTTTTTTTGACTAAAATACCCATTTTTTGAATTCAATCCCTATTTAATTGTGAGGTTTAAAATGTAATTTGAACTATTACTTCTCACCTCATTAAATTCTCTCTCTTAAAATCTTACATTTTTTATAAATGAACATAAAAAAGATGCACTAAGATAAAATACTACAAAAAAAAAGATCTAGTCTAGACAAGCAAGTAGGCATATCAAAGATATCTAAAACTTTGTAGCCCAATATGAGGTGTTTAGGTAATTGGATTTAGATTTTGCAATATTCATCCGATTAATAATAAAAACTAAAAAAATAAAAAAAATAAAAGCACATGCATTTTATATAAAAATTTGGATACATTATTACTATCATTATTATTATTATTTAGAATTGCTATGTACAAAGCACTTGGACACTTATTGGCAGGATATGTAAAGAACTAATTAGAGTACTCTATGGGCTCAACTGTAGCTTCCTCCCTAACCCCGTAAGCAGCTAAGCATTGACCCAATACTCGAGATGGTTGCATGGTACCCCCTCCTTGGTGTGAGATTAATCCCATAGAACCTCAGGCTCTTCATGGTATAGCGGTATGGCCAAGTCCATATCACCTACCAACAAAACACATTCCAACATCCTATCAATACAATCTAACAC